GTAGAGAAGTGATTCAGAGCAGCCCTGTGGAGAAGGAATTGGGAGTGTTGGTTGATGAGAAACTGCACATGAGCTGGCAGTGTGTGTTCACAGCCCAGAAACCAACCATATCCTGGGCTGCATCAAAAGGAGCGTGACCAGCAGGTCGAAGGAAGTGATCCTGCCCCTCTGGTCTGCTCTTGTGAGACCCTGCCTATAGTACTGTGTCCAGAAATGAGGCCTACAACGTAAGAAGGATGTGGACCTGCTGAAGCATATCAGGAGGAAGGCTGTGAAGATGATCAGGGGGCTGGAGCACCTCTCCTATGGAGACAGGCTGAGAGAGCTGGGGTTGTTCAGGAGAAGAGAAGGCTCTGAAGACACCTTATAGCAGCCTTCCAGTGTCTAAAGGCGGCCTACAAGAAATCTGAGAGGGACTTTTTCCAGGGGCATGTAGTGAAAAGACAAGGGGAACTGGATTTAAACTGAAAGATGGTAGATTTAGATTAGGTATAAGGAAGAAATTCATTATTGTGAGGGTGGTGAGACACTGGCACATGTTGCCCAGAGAAGTTCAGATGCCCCATCCCTGGAAGTGTTCATGGCCAGGTTGGATGGGGCATTGAGCAACCTGGTCTAGTGGAAGGTGTCCCTGCCCATGGCAGAGGGTTTGGAACTAGATGATCTTTAAGGTCCCTTCTGACCCAAATCATTCTAAGATTAAATCATTCTAAGATAAAGAATGACAAGACCTCTTCTTAAACTGGTATGCTAAAATGTTGGGTTTTGGTGTTGTTTTTTTTTTCGAGCAGGTGAGGCATTTGCTAAGCTGAGAATGTTACATTTCATTAGTAGTTGCTAAATATCACTTACAGATGAATAAAAGACAATCTGGTTGATTTAAAAGAAAGAAGTTTGAAATAATTTCCATTACATACTACCTTTCATGTGTTTTGCAAGTGTTCACTTAATTGCTTCTTTTTGTAGTAACAATAATGCAAGATTAAACATAAACTCAGTGTCTACCCAGTCACCATTGACAGAAATGTTCAGCCTTTTAGCAAAGCACTAGGATAAGTAAGCATATCTCAAAGGAACTACCTTTCACAAAGTTTGGGAGAAAAGAGGATGACATGCAGTCCACCATTTGGAATTCCTTTACTGGTTAAGATCCTCCTTGATTCACTAAATTCATGCGTACATATAGGTGTAATCTATATAATTAGATATAATAGATATAATTAGATAAAATCTACTGTGATACTCATTTCAGGGTATCCACATCCCAGACACATTTACTTGTATTCTCTCTAGCTGCATGAGTTGAGAAAAAATTTTCACTTGTTTTGACATAGGCTTTTGCAGAAATTAATTTTATGGTCATAAATCACCTCTGATTACTTTAATAGGGTCATTTCAAATGTGAAGATGTCTTTGTAAGTTCATAAATTTTCTTGATAATTTTATGCCTGTGGCTTGTATATCGTAATTCTGACAATTCATGCAAGTAATGCTGTGTCATAAATTACCACATTTATTTTTGGCATGAGTCTCAGTACTCATGAGCACTGCCTCTATTATTTAAATGTGTAACATATCTGAAACACAAGATTCAATATCTAAAATATAAGAATACTTAGAAAAAGCCTAATGCTTAGACAAGGGATGAGGACTGGAATTCTCCTGATGATTTGGGATGCAACTCTAATTAAAAGAGGAAATAATCCATGATGCCCAACTATTTGAAGCATTATTGAAAGCCCAGTTTAAAAAAAAATTTCCCACATCAAGCCTTAGATTGCAATACCTCATGCAAAATTTCTAATGACACAGAAGTGTTTCAGTTAATATTTAGCTTGTTACAGAAGTGTAAAGAAAAATTAGCAAATAGTAACTTATTTAAAAATTAGTCTAGATAGAGAACTCTCCCTGACAAAATCTATAATGTTTAAGATAAAATCTATATAATGTGAACTATTCATATTTTGTGTCATATTTTGTGGAATAGCCATTAGGCTTGATTATAAACCAGATGATATGAAAAATATTATGAACATACCACACTGCTACTGAACATAATTAGTTCCCAGGTTTTTAAACTTGCAAACACTTATGTTTTTACATCTGAGTAGGTCCACTGAAATCAATCATATATATCAAATACAATTAAAGCAATTTATACAGATTACACACCAAATCAAATTACGTAAGATTAAACACCAAGTGCCTGGCAAATAAAACACTTTCTCCAACAAAACTAGCCCATTCGATACAAAGTGACTGCGTATTTTTCATATAATAGGCTGCAGCTTAATCATTTCAACCTTTAATTACTGCATCAGATAATGAATATTTTGAACATATGCTTCTCCGCCCTGTTAGAAGACACGAATGAAAGAGAAACAAGTTTATATGCGTGCTACTGTGTGTGCATGTTGGGGGGAGGGAGAAGCACGCTAAACAGCAAAAGGAACCAGTGGCAACAATTGGAGGAAATGGTATCTGTAACAGCTGCTCCTTTCAGATTCCCCTAGAAGGAGACTGCCTGAGGTGGACCATAGCAGAAAAGGATAAAGAAGATGAAAACTGATGCAAAACAGGAAAATAACTGCTGAGACCCCTGAGTCTACACCCGAATAGTCCCAAACTGTGTGGCAAGACCTCTTTAGCATGCTACAGAAGCTGGTGATGAACTACATATTACCATGAGGCAAACTGGCTCCTAGCAGTATTGTCTGCATGTTATGTGTAATGATAACCAGTAGTCCTCTGGGAATAGGATGCAATGATTTCATCTCTGTAAGCATCTGAGCTCCCCTTGGATACAGAGACCATTAAACTGAGAACAGAAGGGTAAATTTTAGGCAATGATTTCCAATTGGAGAGTGAAGACAACTTGTGCTCAACAGCACTGTCAACCACTGATATTTTATTGCTGTCTGTATTGATCACTGTGAAGGACAAAAGGAACTAAAATTGTACCCCTTCTTCTAAGCCCCCTAACACACACTATTTTTTCTGGAAGAAAGTACTTCATAGGTTTTCCATATTAGGAAATGCCATTATAACATAATACAATAATAGATAATATTATTTACACTGAAATGTGTTGGTATTTTCATTACTGTTAAAATAACATTTTATACTCTTAACATAAAGTATCATTTATATTTTGTACTACAGAGTCTTTTTTTCCTCTTTTTCACATTGCTTTCCCTAACTCTCAGGTGTTTTTGTAAGACCAAACCCAATAGGCACAACCTATCATGTATATATTTTAAATTAATTGTAGTACATTACAATACTCAAGTTTTCAGAATCTTTCTTAAAAAAAAAAAATAAATCTGCATATGACAAAGAGAAATTGATCTTCCAAATGACTGCTGTAATTTTTTGGCAGGAGCAAAGGGGGAGCAATGCAGGGAAGGGAAAATATAAGCAAAATGGATCCTGAGGAGATAATGCCAGGACATGTAATATTTCTGGCACTTTCAAGGGTGGTTTGATCCTTTGCATATCATGGAGACTGTGCAGTCTTGTTCATTAATTAATTTCTCCTGTGATGGAGAGTTCAAATATGCTCTCAGGCTTCTTTATTTAGCACATTTGTTATCTTGCTGCTCGTTATCACTCACACAGTTTATTGCAACTCTCAGAAACTTAACAGATAAGTTGATCAGGTAAGAATGCTGGCACACTTGTCAGTCAAAAAACAATGAAGATAAAGTTCAGTACAAAAAAATTCTAGACTAATCTCTTGTACCGTATTCTTGGAAGAGATCAAATAATCTTCTTCTCAATGCTGCTGCAACAATTAAATATAATTTTATAAAATTATATGTAGCTTTTAAAATTTTGAAATATTTTCACATTCAGCTACACACTTTAACTACAACTGATGTAAGAACAGGCTCCCACTTTCCAGCATTCAGTTGATTTATATGGAAGATAGGCATATCAGCATTGAGGAATTATATATAATCAGTAACTCTTAGAAATGATCATACCACAAACTGTTAAAAGCAAGTAGGAAGATATTTCAAGACAGAAACCTAGAAACTTTCCTATACTGCAGAGGCCAAGCAAGCAATACTGAAACTCATGCTGAATTCACTCTGCGACTTCTATCAGCCTTTTTCTGAAAAACATAACCACCAGAAAAAAATAACCTCAAAGAATGAACTCTATAGAATGTGTTCATTAATACAATACCAAGTCATTCTGCAGTTACAGGAAGAAACAGAAATAACAATTATCCAGCTGATTAATTGCAATAATAATGGAAAAAAATATTCAAATAAATTAATTTTCCTCACAATATTTTTAAGAGGATAATGGAGGACTGTGAATTCTCTTATGACTGGCACAGACAAAGTCAAGTTGCTGCTTATCTTTCCCCTCATACTGACCTACAATGAACTAGAGGAACCCTCCTTTGAGACTGGAATTCCACATGCAGAATTCTCATTCTGTTAGGATTATTATGCATGGGATACTCAAGGGAAACATGAGGAGCTTGAATTGAAGTATCAACAGAAGGGACTGCATCTTTTTTGCATTACAGCTTTTCATACCAAAAGCGATTCATGTTTCTTCTAAATTCCTGATGTTCTGAAAAGCTGAACATGTGAATTGACATATTTTTGTTTGTTGCTCACAAATATGCTGCATCAAACTAGCTTGCAAAACTGGTGTTTTATACCAAAACCCCAACTAAAGAGTAGCTGTTTTATATACGTATGAATAGAGGAAAAGGAAAGCTAGTCACATATAACCTGAATTATAAATTTATATTATTTCTACAGATCCACGCATGGAAACCTGGACTCCATCAGTTCTGGAATTTATTTGAACCTTAACTGCTTAAGCCACATGGATCCCTGTTTACAGATCTAGATACTGTTATAAAAGGTCTGTGGGCCAAGTCTTTCCAAGTCTTTTCCACTCTCCAAAATGCCTAAGATGCCAAGGAGTCAGAGAAAGGCATTGGGAAAGCTAAAACAAATTTAAAATAAACTTACTGATAATGCTGTCTGGTTTTCTCCAGCAAAATAATACGCTAAACTCAGGCAATATGTAGCTTCTCCTTGGATCTTCATTTCACCTACTAAAGAAAGGATTAAAGTTACACTTTACCACCATAATCTGTACAAATTACATTAGTACAGACAGTTCTTGCAGGTTCTAAAATAACATGCAGATGTTCAAATACTACATTAACTATTCCCTTCTCCTTACTGTTGCCAATTATTTATTTCCAAAAATGTATATTGACACTTAAAAATAGATGCAATGGATTTAAGCGGAGTTCAACAAGAAAATTCAGCAAAGTCAAAGAAAATATCTTCCAGTAAGTAACGCAGTACGATCGATGTAACATGCTGTAATGGTCTCTGTCATGAGTTGCTTAATAACAGTGTCTTCACGTTAGAAAATCACACTAGCCTCTCTCTATATATGAATATACAAAATTAAAGTAGCTATCGATATATAATCAAAAATATAAACACAGCATATGTTGACCCATACACTTTGCTGATGTGAAACTTCATGAAATACCAAGACAGAACTACCAGTAGATAACATTCATATTTGTTATTCTCATGGTCATTTTGCAAGATACTGTAGGGTGGAATAGCCAAAAAGAAAAAAAAAAAAGGAGGGATAACTTACACTTGCAAGAAGAAGTCATAGAAAATTCTGCACAGGCAGTTGCTAATCGAAGTGCATCACACTTTTCCATGCCAGATTTTATTTCAATAATACTGATCTAACAAACACTGCTTGCTGGTCTTTTTATATTTCTCCCTCAATAGAAAATCATCCATTCAGTACTGAAATTTACATAAATTAATTATATAACTGCTTACTGTATTCAAAAATTTCCCTCCAGAACATGAGTATCCATTAAAAAAAAAAAAGTAACAAAAACTCAGTCTTTCTATTTTTCTAAATCCATCCTGTCAAATGAAATAAAGAATGGAAAAATCAAGCGGAAGCATAAGTACATATTAAGATGTTTCGTAAAGTGCATAAATACAGCTGCAATGAAAGGAGAGATTATCTATTTACATTACCTACTAATAATTTCTTTATGTTCAAACACATAGAAGCCTACATCTAGTTCTGGAACTTTTTGAATGATATAACTGCTGAGGCCATAGTAGTGCTCTACCTAATACATTACAAAAATTATGAAAAGTCTGCAAATCAAAACCCTGATGGTATTTTCCAGTGCTCAATAACCCTTAAAAGGCTTAATGAGGCAAAAAAAAAAAAAATACAGATGACCAGAGGGATAATAAATGAAAATTTTCTAGGGATATAAAACACTTCCTTCCTCACTTAAGAACAGTCTGAGAGTCTGAAGTGGATGATATGTAATTCCAATTCATAAAATACCTAAACACAGATGATGGTCCAGAAGGACAGAAATAGATATTACAAATAGTACCCAGAGTCAGTACGGGTTTGACTAAATTAACTATGGGCTTTGTAGGTAGAGGTTATGGTTCTGGAATGGGGACTAGGCAACTCATCTGAAAGAAGCTTTTAAAGCTTTATATTTAAAAGAACAATGGCAAGTATATTCTGCACATATTATTAAATTAAAAAAACTAACGTATCTGGTGCTAAATATTGAAGTAATATTATATATTAATTTTATGGGCAATTCATATGCAAAATATGCCCCTTAAGGAATACCATGAAAGGTTCTTGAACTGGTGTGATTGGAAACACATGATCACTTGAAACCTTCTATCTTCTGAGAAGCACTCTAATAATCATCTTGGATAACCATCTAGGAAAAGTAAGCCTGTAGAAGCGGACATTTAACAGCATCTTATAAGAAACAATGACTATTAAGATTTCTAAAAAAATCTGGAAAATTATAAGTATTTCCATAAAGTCAACTTGTAAGATTTGCCCTCTCTTTTCTGTTCCCTCTCATGTGTAAGAAATGCTCCAAAGCAATTTCTAGCTGATCAACTTCTCACATTATATATAACATTCAAATGCTATTCTATTTTCCCCCAGTTTTAAACCTATCCATACGTAGACAGAGCTTCATACAGACCTTATTTAGAACAAGAAGGCAATCAGGGGTGGTCAGCACAGATTTAATACAGGCAATTTGTTCTTCACCAACCTGATAGTCTTCTACAATAAGATGATTGTCTTGGTGGATGAAGGAAAAGCAGTGGATTTTGTTTCTCTCAATTTTAGCCAGGCTTCTGTCAGTATCTCCCATAACATCCTCATATAGAAGCCGAGACAGCAAAGCGAAAGCAACAAATAGGATCATCCATCAGGCAGAGTGTTGCAAGCAGATCAAGGGGAGGTGATCCTTTGCCTCTGCTCAGCATAGATGAGGTCACCCCAAGAGTGCTGTGTCCCATGCTGTGCTCCCAACACAAGAGAGAGAGGGACATTGTGCAGCAAATCCAGCAAACGGCTGCAAAGATGATGAAGGGCCTGGAGCAACTGTCCTTGGAGGAGAGGCTGAGGGAGCTGGGACAGTTGAGGCCACAGAAGAGAAGGCTCAGAGGGGGATCTTATCAGTACCTCTTAGGCAGTAGTAAATAAGATGGAACCAGGCTCTTAGTGGTGCTCAGTGACAGAACAAGAAGCAATGGACAAACCTGGAAATTCCATCTGAGCTCAAAAAAAATGCAACTTCTTTATTGTGAGGGTGTTTGAACAGTGGAAAGTATTTTCCAGAGCAGTTATGAAATCTCCACCTGTGGATGTATTAAAAACTTCACAGGACGTAGTCTATGGCAGCCTGCTTTAGCTAATTCTGGTGATCTCCGAGGGTATCTCCCTACCTCAGCTATTCTGCAATTCTGTAATTTTTTCTTTAGGCTTCCAAGTATTAAGATATATGGAAGTAATTTTGTTTTCTTATGATAGAAAACTGCTTTTTTTCAAGTACTGAATAAATATGTAGAGTGAAAAGGTAGTGTCCCAGCAGCAATCAGCACTCAAAATTTGCCAAACCAAGAGTGACTTCCAAATCAGAAAATCAGTGGGCTGAGCTTTTGTCAGTGACTTTATTTCCTTATTATGACTTCACTGTTGTACACTATTATTCCCAGAAGGTGGGTTTGTTTGGTGTTTTTTTGGACACTAAGCTTTCAGGAGCCTAAAGGTTCTTTGCTGTCTTCAAGAAGGCTTTTCTGCTTTAGTAAGATCTGGAAATGTATTGATAGCACTGGTCTTTGCATTTCATAGGAAATAATCACCCCGTCAAACACTTGACAATTTATACTTTTGGGAAAAATCATAACATGCATGTTAAACAAAGCAGTGGGAAAGTGTTATTTTCCACCTACCATTTTTTGCCATTTTTAAAGCTTTTTTTAATGTTTTGATGGCCTGTTGGTGTTCATTATTTTCTAGCATTTTGTCTGCTAGTAATGTATAAATTCTCCAGAGATACTCAGATGCCAGTGAATTGTAAGTACGGCCTGTCACATCCTTCCATGTTGAACCAACCGTTAGATGATAAAATATTTCATAATACTCAGCAGCTTTCAAGGCATGACCTGGAAAATGTAATTCGTAATTACAATCAGTATAATCAATACAATTTTTAAGTTATTAACCTAGAATAATATTCTCATTAAAAATAAGCTGTAGCAAACCATATCAAAATTTTTCAAGACACTTCAATATATAACTTACTAGAAAATTTCCTGCCTAGAAAATACCGCCAAATCTCACAGTTACCAGTAATTCTGTAATTTAAATGTATCACTATTTAAATTAGCTTTCCTTTGTAGAGTCACAATGTTGGGAGTGTGTGATCCCAAAAATCCAAAGTCAGAAGTTTCTAGAAAATACACCTATTATAGATTCATTAAAATACCTTTTGTGGATCATATATTTCAAAAGCACATCTATGCAGAAGTAACCACAATTCAAACTGTTCCTCAAGGTTCTTCTTTCATAATGAAACCCTGTGCTGAAAGATTTGAGATGTGAAAAACAGAGGTATCAAAAGTATGTGCTGGGGGGGGGGGGGGGGGGGGGAGTCAGTCCTCATTCAAATAAATTAATTGTTAAAAAAAGAATTATTATGCAAAGTAATTTATTCAACAGTTGTTACTAGGCCAACTCTGGTTATAGTAAACTTACTGGAAAAACATCAACCATTAATAGATTAAGTATTGATACTCAACTAAGACCTCACTTTGAGGTCTTCAAATATAAGTTATTCAAACATCTTTAAGGCAAGCAAAAGTCTGAAGATAAAGTTCAATTCCTTTCAACATGTAAGTAGTTTTTTCCTCCCCTTTACCTTCAGCTAGACTTATCTCCATGTATACATGCAATCTAGAAGATTTCCATATTTCCTAGACAATGGAAATTCAATGCCCTTTGAAAGAACAGAATAACTTTTCTTTATATATAGGTGCAGAAAAATTGCTGAGAGGCAGGTAAGATGAGACATCTTACATTAATAAAATGTTATACAAAGAATGTTCTATAGCTGGGAGAACTGTGAATGTCTTGCTTCTTAAGTTTGTTTATGTGTGGAGGAATCCTGTCCCATAGATCATTAATATATCAGTTGCTATTTCTTTTAAAAGCTGAAACAAGCCATAAACTAACTTTGTATAGATGCGCTTGCAGTTTATACCTCTTTTGAAACATGTTTGATAAGGAACAGTTTCTGTTTTGCTGGTTTTACAGGGCTGAATTCAAAGTACAAAAAGAAGCAAGGAGAAAAGTTGCTTCCCAGCTGCGGGAAAGAAAGCGAGAGGAGCTTGGAGAAGGACCTTCTTTAAGGATTCTGAGAGAAAATGAGGCTAATTCCCGAAGCCTCCAGCCAACCTAGAGGCAGCAGAAGAGTTATGACAGATCCCTCTCATTAACTTAATTTAGATTTGTGTTTTGCATATGTTACCGTTTTATAGCCATGCTTTCAATTTTGCAATGAAACATAACCCTTCTCTTTATTAGAGTTAAATTTATTTTCCTACTAAGCTTCTTTGATGATTAAAATGAATTCAACTAAAACTGAGATGTATAAGAAACTTTCGAAGAAGCAACTAAGAGTTTAATAGAAAAATCATTTTCAGGCTCTATAACCTATGATCCATATAAGTCCCAGAGGACACAACAAAAAGTGGAGTGTCAGGTGAAAAGGGAGACAACGGGCTTTATTCAATTTCATTCTAGCTAGGGAAAAGTATCAGAAAGATGGTCCAAAATGTTGGAAGTAAAAGCATATTGTTATCAGACCCTGTAAACAGACAGGGAAAGATCAATACATTCTTTCAAAAATGTCACAGACTTCATATCAGGCTGAACAAACAGAAATGCAAAGTGAAATTGTCATGACCAGTAGAAGCTGTTTAAGGATTCACTGACAGCTCATGTAGCAGGAAATAGAGATGCAGACTTGCTAAACCCAGATGAAAACTTGTCCATTCTAAAGAGGCTTCCAATTTGAATTTGTGTTTTTGCCCATCGAGTCCAGTTAACTTTTTAGGGCAAGCCCAACCCAGAGGTCAACAGAATGCCAGTTATCCAAGTTGCTAAATGCAGATTTAAGATATTAATCAAAGAAGCTGGTGTTGGCTTGGTGACAAATGGCAAAAAATTGAGTTGAAATAGAGTTAATATATAGTTAATAGCTAGATCTAGTATTGTATCTAGTATTGTATCCACTTGAATCCTCATAAACACATACAGACTTGTCCTTGGAATTCTCCCAAAAGTTTATTAATCAACTGATTTTCCTTTTGAAAGGGTATTCCTAAGTGATCTATTTTCACTACATGTGTGACTCTATTCTTTAGAATAGTAGAGTTTGATTCATGTGTAACTCAAAACACTTCTAGTAAGAATGGGAAGCAGCAAACAAATGAATGGTATCACCTGGACAAGAACTTTGAAGCTGAACACAGTATCTGAGTTTCTCCTAACATTCTCTAATATAATCTCTTAATGGGACATACCATTTAGGTAAATAATACATGCAACCTTCAGAAATATTGTTTAGATTGTTAGAACTATTCAGTACAGTAATTCTTGCCCATGCATCCTCACTTGCAGTATCCCCTTGAGAAAGTTTCTGTCAGACTAGAAATTGAACTCATATATTCCATACACCCCATAGTTCTCAAGAGTTGACCTAACCATAAGAGCTGTGACCTGACATCCTTTTTACCAGATCTCAGTAAAACCCTTTTAGAAACAATCCGTCTACATCAAGCTTCAAAACACAAAAGCATCTTTTTGGTAGTATTCAATTGTAACTAAATTGCATTTGACTTCACTGAACTACCAAGAAAGTTTATGAGGTAAAAAGTAATACAATCTGCTCACAGAAAAACTAAAAAGAAGAAGCCGAGCAAAAAAAATCAAAATACTTGCTAGTTTCCTAAATGAAGGAGAGATGTAATTCCTGACCTGAAAGCCCTTACGTGGTTGGGAATTTGTTTACTGAAGACTTTTGAAGTTATACTAGCTATTTGGAGACCTCTCAAATTCATGGAAGGGAAAACGTTTTAGAGTTTGGATTTAATTCTGTCATCAAAATAGTCTGAAATCCTTTGTTCTCATTGGCAAATGACAAATTACTTCTTTAATCCATAATGTTTACGTGAACTTCAAATGTTGTGGGGAGAAAGAAAAAGAAACATTGTCAGAAGGGTGGCAAGTTTGATTCAGTTAGAATTACGGAACATTCTGAGAGTAAGATTATATTTACCTCACTTGAGAAGTGACAAGGTAGACTTTTAACCGACTTTTTATCAATGGAAAAGAAAAAAAAAAGCGAAATGACAGGAAAAATAGTGAGTAGGAAAAGTTTGTAGAAATGCATCTTTTATACCTCTAGGAATTCAAAGAGGAAAACACAGAAGGTGTTTCTCAGAAATGTATATTTCAAAAATTTTTTTGAAAAGTGTTACACAAAACAGAATAGCTATTCTCAGTTGGCAACATTAACAGCAATTGTATATTTCTTTTCCCACTGGCACACAGAAATTAACTCAGCATATACTAAATGGAGTTTGAGAATCTCTGATATCTTTTCCATGTTTATAAAAGGAATTTTAAAAATCCCAACAAACCACAAAACACAATGTACCTCTTACATATATACATATATACTATATATATACAACATATATACTATCACTACTAAAATGTTGTAGCTTTATATATCTTAGGGCATAACAAAAGAAACCCTATAGTTCAACCTTAGCAATAGTTCAACCTTAAATAGGGGAAGTAAACATAGCCACAATATAATTTTGGGAGGAAAGAATCAGTTTTAAACAATTATATGAATACAAGACATTATCCTGCCACTAACAGTATCAAATTTTAGAAATTACTCTTATTTTCATAGCAACTACATATGTATGCACAAAGATTTGTGCTACAGTTTTCACTGAGTTGCTTAGAAGTCAAAAAAATAAATCTATTCATTCAAGCAAAAGAACTTGGTGTAATTTTGTAAATACTGAAGAGAAACATTTTTACATTATCTAAACCTTCTCTTTATAATACCCCTTCCTAAAACCCACTCCAAAAGTATACATTTGTTATATCAAAATAAATATCAAACCTAAAGGGGGATGCATGGAGACTACTATTTTGCCTTTTTTTTTTTAAGTAGAAAGATTGACTAGATATTAACACAAATGGGTTTAAATGTGAAGCTGCCATAAAAGCAGGCACATAAATGTAATTCTCCCAGCCGCTATTTTGATGCACATTTTTGATTCCATGAATATTTTATGAAATGGACCAAACTAAAGCCATATAACATTCCTGCATTACTGATGCTTGCGCCCGTAAGCTACAAACATTAGAGGCATGATTGAGTGCATTAAAATGAACTCATTCAGCAGTGCATTGATTACTTGAAGGAGAAAAAAAACAAAAGGGAAGTTACTCCCACTTAAGAAAACAGCACACAAATTTGAAGTTTTCCATACTAAAATTAAAGATAACAGATTTTAATAATGTGGCATTTAGTAAATAAAGGCAGCGCAAAACTATCTTGAATTCTCTATATGCAGTCCTGATATTAATTAGATGTGATGTTAATTAGGTCCACAGATTGCTTCCAGTAGTGTACAGGTAATTTAAAATGTCAAAATCTGCAAAATGCAGTGACTGACCTGGTGTAGCTCCATGCCTCAGCAATACTGAGAGCACCTAATGATTTCCTTTTCTATCAGATTGTACATTCACCACTGAAAATAATGCCACAGAAACAACCACACAAAAAAGTGACAGGTCCGCTAGGTACATTTCTTCAGCAGCAGTAGTATAAGCAGAAAGCACATTTAATTCTAAAATGTAAACAGTTGTTGAGGACTTTAGAAAATACTTAAATTTAGCTTAAAACAACAACCTAAAGGAACAATAAATCTTTATGTATATTATAGTATATTTCAACCTAAAACTAGGAGATCTTTTTAATCAGTTATTTCACTGTGCAACATGGACATAAAATCTGCTTGAAGCAACAGTTAACAGTAGTAAAAAAGAAAAATGTTATTACTATTTTAAAATATAT